TAAAGGGCCCTCCGCCCAAATCCTTTTAGCCTTTTTGCCTACTCGAGGTCCTCTATCGAATGATGTATGAACGAACGAAATCGGGGCCGGACACCTGGGGTGGTTCCCTCGTAAGTATAAACAGATTCATAAAAAAAGAGAAATCTCTTCAAAATAGCACCCCTTTTAGCTCTGAATCACATCTTTTGCTTGAAAAGAAGTATGATATATGAGAGACAAATTTCTCTTTATGCTTTTTGTTCTAGTAAACACTCAATTAAAATCCACCTAGAATACCTTTTAGAATGCTTAGTTGAGCGATCTTAGCTGTTTGAACCAGAGGAGCAAGCTTTTTCCTCTAGAATCAAAACTATTTTGCGCAATTTTTGTACCCACTGTCTACTTGTTTTTAGTTTGTTATATGAAGATGTTATTTCATTGATGTACTGATAAAATCAACGATTTTTTTCTTCTTTTAAATGTTAAACTAAATGCCGAAATAAGAAAAGCAATGGATTCTAACAACGTATAATTTATGATAGCATACAAATCAAATATTGCTTAAAAAGTTCGAAAGATCTTCACGCACATAGACAAATTCGTGAAAAAGTTAAAGTACTTTCTATGTTTCCAGCTTATTCAGATTTTTATTTAAGTATTCGTTCCTTTTTTGCAGCATAATTCATATATCTTTGTTCTACCTATCTAAAGAATGTTCATGTAAAAGGTTAAAAGATACTACGCGACGTTGGTAATACGAAAAAAAGATATATCATTATTAACACGTTGCTGATTGTTAATGCACATATCGTAGTACATGGTATCTGAGCGATGGTATGCTTGAAGAAATCATTTTTAAGTTGACATTTAAGTGAAATGAAACGAGACTTTTTACCAATCTCTTATTTTCTATAACTTATGTGTAATGAGTGCGGAAAGATGAGGATATTTTCAATTAGAATGCAATCGTCCTACGAACAAGTTGTGAATGTGATTAATAGAAAGTTTCCTCATATTCAAATGATACAACGGCTGTAGCGTCTCACATTCAAACAATCTCATATTTGAGAGAGAATGTAAACTAGATGCTAACTACCTTGAGGGCAGATCAGAAAGCCGACCGAGTGAAACGTCCTTTAGAAACATGTTAGACACCATTTGAATCCCTTAAGCCTTCGCAGAATCCGTTAGGATTGTATTTTTCTGTCTTCAGAAGCTCACCCTGTATGTTTCAATTGTTAAGTATCATGTAACCATTAATTTTCACATACAGAAAGTGGCTAAGTTCTGTAAGATATATACTGATTTTGTGGGACTTATCACATGATGATTAAAAAATAAATCGAAAACGTGACTTTAGATGTGTAATCTCAGCTTCTCCACTTTCAAATCATCTTTCTACCAATTCTGTACAATTCGGGATAGCTAAGAACCAATGGCTGATCAAAATGAAAAAGTGGGTCTAGAAGAAATAAGGAAAGAGGAACTTTTGTTTGTCCTAGCTAACTGCTTACATATCGCATCAGTGACACTCACATTTAATGACCGGACATGTTTGAAAAGCGAAAAGTATAGTCTCACTTCCAGTGTACTGTAATTTGACTAGTAATCAAATGACTGGTATCGGAGCTACCGAACTTGATATAAATAGTGGGAAGAATGCGTCATTAAGTGTGGACCGTCTAAAGAATACAATAAGAACAAATACTTTATGTATACACATATAACTATAACTCAAAGATTTGACAACAATTTTTTTACCGACCTCTAAATCAGAACCAATGAATCCAAAGCGTCAGATATGAATTATGAACGTCATTGTGTAATATTTTATTATGTTCAACATTACTTATAGCATGGTATTAAATGGAATGCATTATCTCTTTGATTGATGTTATTTAAGCTGTTATTTTATTGCACGATTGCATCTGATAGTCTTCTGCTATTATAATCTATCGCTACTATACCGATGTTCGCTCGAATTTGAGCGGAAACTGGCTTCGCTTAGAATCACAGCTATAAATGAATAGTTTCAAACTATTTCAGCATTTGAAGCTCTTTCTATGTTAAGAAAATCGGCTAACTTTTACAGTTAATCATAATTTCAGAAAAACTGTCGATAAATTTCAATTAATCAAGGCTTTTTACTGAACTCGCAAGTAACTGCCGATTTTTCTAAAATTCTTTATTAATCGGAAAACAATGTTGCTTAAAAAGCACGATTAAATGACTAATTAATTGTGCTTGGTCAACAATTTCTTGCCGATTTTGACGACATGGATTATTCTAAATAGTGCATTATTCTCGCAGGCATATATCGCAGCAGTCTATCATAAAATCTTATGTTTTGTTTAGAAATTCATCTAACTTTTGGTACTACGGCGAAAAAGTGAAACAGTCAGTCTTGATAATTCAAATGGAGAATTTTACTCTGAGCATTATCTCTAAAAACTGAGTTTAGAATGAGAAGAATCTAATGGCTAGATTTCATAACTGGGAGGATCGACTAAAAAAGTAGTGTTTATAAACAAAAAAATGATGTCAGTGATTACTAGACACTGCATTACGAACTTTGTTATTTTCCATTGTGAGATAATTATAGGTTGCATGACATACAACAGTGTTGTACAGTAATCTGTGCTTTTATTTGTTTTATTGCTAAATGAGATATTGTTGAAAAGACTTTTCATTAACCAATTATTGATGTTCTTTTGAGGATAATGTCGGATAATTCAATGAATATTTCAAAACGGACACAGCTTGAGAAAAAATGTCAACTGGAACAACAAGTAGCATCAATAAAGTTTGATTTAATCTATAAAACTATTTATGATCAGCTGAAAGAATGGAAACTATTAATGATTGAAAAACTTAATTCTATCCATGATAAAACAGTTGACGAATTAGATATATCGTATACTCAACTAAAAAATTTCAAAATAATTATCGATAAACTATTAACGAAACAAATTAGTGAACTACAAAATTCGTCGAATCTCTCTCGTGAAAAAATGAATGAAATTAAAACAAAATTAAATCCATTATTGAACGAGATTGAACAATTTGAGCATTTATCATTGAGATTGAATGATGAACAAATTCAAATTAGTGGAAAGTTAAATTTATTAAAAATTAGTCTTCCATCCATTGCTCACAATGAGCAAACATCACCAGTGGACACCTCAATTGAACAAAATTTATCTTGTAAAACTATCAAACAGAAATATCGTTTACTTATTTCAATTAATCATGCTTCAAAATTAGAACAACTAAGTAAATTGTCATCAGTTCATCTTTCACCGCTTATAGATAAAGTCCCAGAACGTATTTTAACCATAGATGTTGAGAAACTAGTTTTATTTCTTAATATATTTGATCAAATAACATCATTATTAAATGAAGGAAATGAAATACGCGTACTTATTCATCACCAATGTGCACCATATGTAAGTTTCGTTCCGTTGTACTATTATAACGGGTGCGCCAGAGGAAATGAGTCCTTTAGTATTTTTCATTTTTCTCGTGTTCCTTTAAGATCTTAAGGTTAATG